TTTGCCAAATGACAGCATAGCAAGGATAGTTTAGATAATTTCTTGTTTCTAATTTACCAGATTGACAGCACTGTTAAGTTGACAATGGAAATGGAGATGAATAATAATTTACCCTTTTTAGATGTCTTAGCAATCAGAGCAGGTGATAAGTTAATCAAGGATGTATATAGAAAGCCAGCGCATTCTGGTTTTATACTTAACTTCTTTTCCAATCATAGTTGCAAAACAAAGATTGGAGTTTTAAAATCTATGATTATTCGAAGCATAAGACTATTCGATAGAGACCATTGTAAAAATAAACTGAATCGGCTTAAAATAATATCTTTTGAGAATAACTATCCTCTAGGCTTGATTGAAAATAACATTAGATTAATAAATAATAGCTTCTTGAATGGTGAATACGTAAGGAGACATAATGAGACCTTATCTCATGTTTTGCCTTAGCCTTCGTACATTCTCTTCAAAAAGAGAGGTTGCTACCACATAATGTGTTCATGTTGTCGCTTCTATGTTGGGCAGACTTGTCACTCTATTCGACAAAGGGTCGCTGAGTACAAAAGCGCCTGCAAAGACAGTTGGGTTCAAAGATCTGAGCTGACAGCACTGGCCGGAAACGGGACACGAGATTGAATGGTCTCAATCTTCACGTTTTGCTGATTATAGCATGTCTGCGGCTAAACGTGAAATTATAACAGCCATCGAAATAAACCGAATAGTAAATACATTGAATGTAAGGAATACTGGTAAGAAGATAAATAAAAATTACTTGTGCTTAATTAATAGAGTCAAGGATAGAGGTTGTTGAGCCACCTGCACAATATAGGCGATTCAACTAGTCTTTTCTTGTCTTAATTATAATCATAGTCACTTTTCTGTACCTTTAGCTCGCTCTTTCTCTCTTGCATAAAGACCAATAACAAAAATGATTTTTCAACAAAACCAGACATGTTTCCGACCTTGCGCACTCGGATTGATGGTTATAACGTGTACGTAGATAGGGGAGATGGCTGCTTCAAACCTTGATGGCCGAGAACAGAAGTTGCTTTTGCTGTCCTAATTACTTTTAGTTATCACTACGGGTTTCCTGCATAAACGAACACATACGGAAACACCGTCTTAATCTTCAAACTTGCTATTTTCCGCTAACCTTGTCAATGCTTAATGCAATTTCGTTTGCATTTCTGTTCTTCAGATGATGCAAGTCTGCACCTGGTCACCAAGCACCTCAGCCTTGCATCGCCATTTCCTCACTTTCCCGAGTATCCAGCTCACTTTTTCCAGCAGCCCCGATTGCCTCAGCGTCACTATGTTCTAGTTGAAGCCTCTTCTTCACGCCCTGATGGCGCTAAGCAACCCATGGAGCGTTTGTTGTTGCTGGCACTTGACCAGAAATTCTGCATTGATGGAGCTCAAGCAATGAATGAGTCGCAAAGCAAGGTCAATTCTATTTATCATCATATTTTACTCAAAAATGTATGATTGTTAACTTTCATGCCGGTTAAAGTCGTATTAGTACGTTTGTTATGGCTCATTTCTTCATATTTGCCATTCTATGACATTCTTTATTTCCATACTTATTTTTAATTTTTCCCACAATTAGGGATGAACATGAATTTGCATTTGGGTTCTCTTATGATTTATTTGGTTCTTAGAAAATTACGTTCGTCATGTTCTTATCTAGTTGTCTTAAGCTGTGTATTATATATCAAGGCGTCAGCTAGCTATAGATTTACTTTTCTTTTTTAGTATTTTTGGTCACTACGTCATAATATTGCCCTGGCCAGCAAGCGTGCTGGGTCTTTCACACTCAAATATGACGTTAGTCTTCCCGTGGAAAAGCTCCCACTTCTGGTTGGTCTTATCGAGGAGGTCTGCTACGAACGTTACCCCTATCTTCATAATTCTATTGCATTTGCAAAATCCACCAATTG